TGTCCCCCGCCGCGTGCTTGAGGTGCGGCCTGTTGGCGCAGGGCCCGCCCCCGCCCACCGAGTCGCTGCGCTCCTTGTAGAGGTCGGTCAGGTCCACGTGCTCCCAGTGCGGCGAGTTCTCCTTGGGGCGGAACTGGTCCAGGTAGAAGTCGCGCAGCCCCTCCTTGTCCCGGAAGCAGCGCTTGTGGTCGGGCGAGCGCGGCCGGCGCCGGTAGGCCAGCTCGATCTCGTCCAGCTCGCGCCGCGACTTGGCGGACGCGGGCCGCTTCTTGAGGCTGTCCTTGTACTGCTGCTTGCGCCGCTTGGCCGCGTTGCCCTCGATGTTGCCGTAGGTGACCGTGTGCGTGGAGATGTCCGACACGTCGGAGCGGATGAGGTCGTCGTGGCCGCCGTAGCGGTCGCTCTTGAAGGAGAACTTGCCGTACAGGTCGCCCAGCGGGCCGTGCTTGGCGGCGGGCAGGCCGAGGTCCAGCGGCTTCTTGCCCGCGGGCCGCGGCTGCGTGGGGAAGGGCGGGTTGTCGCAGTCGTACAGCCCGTCGATGGAGCTGGCGCTGCCGATGCTGTGCGGCCGGTGGTGGTGGTGGTAGTGGTCCTGGTACACGTTGCTGTCCTTCAGCTGCAGGTTCCCGAAAGTCCTCTCCACCTCGCTGATGTAGTCGCTGAAGAGGTTCTCCTCGCACGGCGGGTTGTTGTAGGACTTGCAGTCCGAGTGCGTGAAGCTGCGGCGGTGCTCGGAGATGTCGTACACGGACGACTCGCGGCGGATGAAGTCCAGCGCGCTCTGCGGGGAGCCGTTCACGCCCGACAGGTTGGCCATGTTCTTGGCCGTGCGCAGCAGGCGCAGGATGTTGGAGTGCGTGTTGTTCATGGTGGCGGTGGGCGAGTTCATCACCGACTGGCGCTCCTCGATGGCCACCCCGTGGATGCAGCTGTAGATGCCCTGGGGAACAGGATGGGGCGGATTAGGGCTCCGGGAAGGCCAGAAAGCGACTGTGAAGAACCCCCGCGCCCCCACGGCCTCCCCGACTAATGGCAGATAAGAAAAGCCAGGGAAAACATGAAGTGGAGAGGCTCACATACTCCTAAGAAGATGTGGCTAGAAGCTTGCGGGAGTCCTCGCCTTGCACTTTAGAAGTGTCCTATCATGAGCTAAGGGCCGGGCCTGGCTGGCTATTTGAGTGGGCACATGATGGCACCCACTGGAGCAAACAGGATAAAAATCACAAGACATGACATTCTTGCCTTGATGCCCTCATTTGCTTGCATGGATGTTCCTTTTTATGTCCAGGTGTTCGCATCTTAAAGATGATGCCATGGTGTCAGCCAATAGCAATATATATATGTATGTGTGTGTGTGTGTGTGTGTATATGTATATATGTGTATATATGTATATGTACATATACATGTATATCGACAGCCTCCTGGAAATCAGTAGCAATGCTCCACAGATGTTGAGCCTGCTCCACCCTGGCTGGCCAGAAAGCACATTGGAGCTGGGAGCTCACAGTTGCCACTCTTTTCCAGCTCTGACAAATTTTGAGCAGCTTTTAGAATTTTGATCACCAAATAACAGCTGAGTAGTTCTCTTCTTGAGCCAAGCATGAACCAAATTCACAGAGAGAATCAGGAAGCCCTAGGGTCAAAGACAGATTTTTCTCCTGCTGTGGCCCACACAGCGGGAGGTTAAGAATTGGGACAGATACGGAGTACTAAATAGGAATAAATAATTTCCTTGTTGAATTCTCTCATTTGTTCTCTCTTTGGCTCCTGGTTTTCTTCTTATACTTTCTCACTCAATCTTATCATAAATAATGAATATCTTGGCAAATTAGTATTGATCGAGAAATCCCTGTGTACAGAGCCTTAAAGAACACCACCCAGGAGAGGGAATGGGTTGGGTTCAAGTCTGAAAGTCAAGCCAAACTCCTACTCATATCTTGCTCCCTGCCTTGAAAGGTGGACAAATTTGGAACTTTCCTCCCTGTTATTTGAAGAGGAGGTTGTTTGAATTGTGTCTTTAAAAGAAGGGGAATAATTTAAAAAGGGAAGTTGTCCTGATGGATGGGCATGAGAGGAGTGAAGGTAGGAAAGAAAATGACACTAAGAGCAGAGAAGAAAGGTTTGGATGAGGTGAGCCTCACTGACCCAGAGGACACAGCGAGATAGATCTTCATGGTAAGGTTACTCTACTTTCTTTCTCAGGCCTCCTTTCTAACCCTCCGTAATTATGGCCGGGAGAAAATGCCAAGCATTTGATTATGTAGAAGGGTTATGAATGGGATTCCTATTCGGGGTCACCAGCCCCATTGTTTCTGCCATCACCCTATCTAGGACCTTAGGGAAGGCCACACAAAGAAACTACATGACTCAGGGGCCACAGATTCTACCCTCCTGCTCCCATGTTACTGAATAGCCTGAACCGACTAACGGCCAGAGAGGAAATTGTTCTTTATCACTAAAATACTACAGGAAAACGAGCAAAAGATGGAGCAATTTGACAAATCCGTTTTCTTAAATAGCTCCATTTGAGCCAAAGTTGGTTATATCTGAAACCCAGATCTCTATTCAAAAAGGACATTTGAGTTCACCTCTCATGAATGAGTCCCATAACTTTATTAACAAAATCAACAGAATCCCTCCTCCTCTTTTCTTACTCTTCCCTGTGGCCTTCTGTTCATTCTCAAAACTGTTTTAAATCCTCAGTTTGGACTAGAAACATAGAAGAAGCCTAAATAAAGAACTGCTTCAGAGTTATGCTTTGCTCCAATTAAGGAAGTTTCTGGAATGTAAATTTCTTATGGGTTAGGACTTCTTTCTAAAGGTTGTTAAGTTCTTTAACTCCCCAAAATTCACGCATGGTTAAAATACAAAGAGGAACAATAAAACAACAATATGCCTTTGTCTGTTAGAATAAGAGAGACATATTACATTTCTCTATCTGAATAGAAATATAATTTTGTTTAAAAATGATTAAATGATTATTACAGACTATACAGAATTAACTAATGGTGATGAAAGGTATTTGGTAAAAGGCCACATTTTTTATTTTGATAGATCTTCCAGTTCTCATTGAGAACCAAATGCCCAAACCCCACACAGAAAGCTGTTTCTTGAAGGAAGAAAAAAGTAGAATCACCTGATTTTTTTCAAACGACTTGAAATTATATCACGCAGCCCCCTGGGGAAACATACGTGATGTGGTTTCTTTTCTTTAGCAGCACGGGCTGGAGTTAGTGCCCTTCTGGGTCTCTCCACTTTGCACAGTGCTAGACTAAGCTGTCTTCTATAGGCTCCGGGCCCCTAAATCAGTCCACTTACTCTGCTGATGGAGAAGACCATGCCAGGCTTGCCGGAACAGACGCCCATAAAGCAGTGCCGGAACTGCCAATAGAAAAGGTGTTCACAGATGAAGGTGATGAGGCTGAGAGCCATGGCTGCCCCCAACATGTAGAAGACTCCTGCCATGTTATCAATGTCCAGCTGGCTGCTCATGACCTCATTCTTCTCATTGTGGCAAATGCCAGTGAGCCAGAGAGCTTCCAGCTCCTCCATCTCCCCTGGAAATGGGGCAGAAAGAACAGGTAAAGAGAGAAAAGAGCAGGGGAGTAAAGACAAGGGGGAAAGAGGGGTATTGGGGAAGAGAGAAAAAACATAAGAGACAGGGAGACATAAAGAAAGAAAATTAATAGAGAAAGTTAACAATCATTTTATTAATACCATTATATACATATAAGTATATATATATATAAATATAATGTATATTCAACAAGTATTCATTGAAAAATTAATGATGGTACTGCAAATAATACAAAGATATGAGATATTAACTCTATTCTCCATTAACTATTCAGAGTAAATTAGTATATAAATAATCAATATGATAAGCTATATGCAGATAACAGGAGTTCAAATCAGTGAGAGTAATTTTGTGGGTGGGGTGGCCAGTAGGTGTTCATGGGGGAGATAAGACTTGGAGGTGGGAATGGCGAATGGGTGAAGTTTAATTTATACTGTATGAGAATGCACTCCAGGCACCAGAAATAGCAGGGTCACTGGGAGGAAGGTGGGAAAACAGAAGGCTTGTTTAGGGAAAGGTATGCAGAGCAGTTCAAAGTAGAATACAAGTGGCAAAGGCAGCTGAATAGAAAAGGCTGATGCAGGACTGCTGAGCGCTTGAGCATCAGACCGAGCACTTAGCGCTTTATTCTATGGACAGTGGGGAACAACGTCATCAAACAAGTGATATAGAAAACTGCTCTTAAACACATGTGCAAAGCCAGCTGGGTGAGCGGAGGAGAGACAGAGATCTGCAGAGGAGACCGACCGATTGCCTAGGGACCCTCAGACTCACTCGCCTTCTGTTGCAGAGGGAAGCGTAGACATTAGGAGTAAAGGGACGTCGGCATGAATAAAGTCAGACCTGCCTCCTTTTAACACTGCTCGAGGGGGCGTTGATAAACTCAACTCGTGTCAGATTTCGATAACCTTTACCCACTTCACTGGATGTAGGACTTAGAAAGGTAGAGAATCGAGGCAAATGAAGGAAACCACGCGCCCCGGAATGCATCTAATTCTAGACGAGCAACATTCTGAAAATCTCGTGAAGGAAATCGCTTGTTTGTTTCGGTTTGGGTCTGATTTGGTTAAAAATCAGAACTTTGTGTGATCTGACTAGAGCTTTGGTCACTGTTTCAAATCATCTCTACTGCTGCTCTTCCTCAGAGACAGACAGAGCTCCATTATTGCCTTTCAGTGACAGCTACGCTAAAATCTCAGAAGCGCTTACACCAAAATGTCCGGTTAACACTCCAGCTATTACCCTTCCTCTTTCCAACATTAATCAACTCACTTTTTATTCATTTCTTTGATCAAACTATGATTTTCCTAAGTAGTGGAGCAACGAACTTCACCTGGAGTCTTAAAATCCAGCTGTGCTCTCCTGCCTCTTATCTCATCCCTAATAGCAACGATTCTGCAAGAGTAATTTAGAGAACCTCTGGGCTGATGACCTGTGGGGCTAAGTAGAGTCAAGTTGCTCAACCGTAACTGAATTAACTTCTGTGAGGCTAACAGGAGGAGGAGGTCCTTTGAACAAAAAGTGAAAGGGGATGCAGAAGACATGCTATAATGAAATAGGAGATGAGATTTTCTCAAAGCAAGTTGGCTGCTCGGTCTGCTGCCAGAATGGCACTGGGGAATGCTCTATGGTGTCTGCCTCCCACCTCTTCCAGCTGAAAGAGCAAGATGGGAGAGAGGGGAGAATGAGTAGAGGATTCCTCTGCCTTTTCTCTGGGCACATAAAGAGCAGAGACCTTTCCAAAGTTCCATCCACTTTGGCCACATGTGAGATGATTGTTTGGAACATCTAATACCAGCCTCTCTTACTCCCTGGAGGTTTGATTACAGCCTGCAGTTGTGAAACATACCTCCTTGATCAACTACTTTAATATTCAGCCCCATCTTTCACCCTGTCCTGGGCTGAATTGTGTCTCCTAAATTCATCTGTTGAAACCCTAACCCCCAGTACCTTGGAATGTGGACTTTATTTGGAAATAAAGTCATTGCACATGTAATTAGTTAAGAGGAGGTCATTCTGGAATAGAGTGGGCCCCTAATCCAATGTAAATGATGCCCTTAAAAGGGGAGAAACCAGGCACATACCCATAAAGGAAAAGCATGCACACAGGGAGAAGCCACCTGAACTTGAAGGCAGAGATGAGATAATTCTCCCTAGCGGCTCTCAGAGGAAACCAATGAACACTTTGATCTGGGACTTCTGGCCTCCAGAACTATAGGACAATGTATTTCTGTTATTTAAGCCACTCAGTTTGTGGTACTTTGTTGTGGCAGCCTTGGGAAACTAATACAGACCCCCAAATCTCATAGTGTATTGTGACATGCTTTTCTAGAAGTGCTAGAAACGCAGGGGTGAGAGGAATGGAGAAGGAAGGGCTGATGTTTTGGCCAGCCATCAGAAGAGGCCAAGAAGTCACTGTCTCTTTTTAACTCACCATCTCCGAAGAGCTGTAGGATAGCAAGGTCCACCTGGCGCTTCCACCCAGAATCTTTTTGGATGGCAATGCCATAACCAGTGGAAGCGAAGACCTTCCCGCTGCCAATGGTCACCAGCTTGCAGCCTTCATCTCTGCCTGCCATGTAGTTTAGCACTGCTGCATCATAGATGAAGGCATCCAGCTTCCTGTGCAAGAAAGAAGCAAACAAACCAAATCCAGTGGAGGAATTTTAGTACAGAACTACCTATGGGGCCATTAATATGAAGCAGCAGGGTTCCAGAAAACTATCGGGAGAATTGGTTCAAATAAAGGTTCAAGTTGGAACTCAGCCAGAACCTAAAGCCTGAATCCCAGGCTGTTCTTTATTGTGATTTCAAGTCAAAAGGAGGAGTTCTTTCCCTCCTACTGGGAATGATGAGAGTGTAAGTTAGGCCTGAAGCCAACTCATAAGCTGTGTCTGAAAGGGAGAGGAAGTAAAAAGGAATCAATAAAAATAATAACAGAAATAATGAAAAGTAACCATCACAATGATAACAACAAATAGCATGGGTTAGATTTATATAACATTTTTCATTTTCCAGTTCATTACAGTCCAGAGCAGGGATAAGTGTAGGTGTATGTGTTTCAATAGCTGTGCAATGCTATTTTTGTGGTCAGAAAGGTTTCAATATTCTGCTTTGCTGCACAAGGAAAAAGGAATAATTGAGGTGGTGGCAGCACAGGCTTGTGTTAAGAGCAAATGTGTGAAACTAACAAGAGAATGCAACCTATAGAAGAACTCAGATCCCTCAAATTCCTAAGTATATATGAGGACCTCATTTTATACAGGGGTGGGCAAAGGTAGGTTTACAGTTTTTGTATGGTAAATAATACAGTAATAAGTAAATAATAATACAAGAATAAACTATGTCTTCATGTGCTCACAACCCCCGTATATTGTGCTTTGCAAGAAGGGAATATGTAGGAAGGTGAGTAGACTAGGGCTAAGAGTGGGAACGTATAAATCAATATTTAAACCAACATGTAAGCACATTAAAGGTAAAGGAAGAAATTTAGACATAACCATATGGGTAATAGAGAGGTCTTCAAGAAAAGGGGAAAAGCATGCATTATCCCCTTTACTTGTGTAAGTAAATTTAGCTTTATTCCCCCATCAAGGAAAAAATAAGCTCTTTCTGGTATGATACGGTACACAACATATTTCAAAAAGCCCATGAGGACCCTATAAAAGGTGGCACACAAAAAAAACAAAGCTCTGTTATGATTAATAACTGTGGGTGTACCAAGGGCCAGACTACCCAACCTAGTCCCACCCCCAAGTTCAAATCCCATCTTATAAAATCTGCTCTGAGTTTATGGTGACAAGAGAGAGACATATTATAACATAACGAAATACTTAAATAACGGTACTTAGATAACCATGCACCAGGGTGGCTCTTCCAGAACGGAAGCCACCAGGAGGTCCAAGTGCTGCTAATTATCATGCAATATAGGAAATCAGCTATAGGACCCCTTGACCCCCAAACCACAACATCTTTAATGCTCAACTGTCTGTTTTATTTGACAGCTGTGGTTTCTGGAGGCCAAATGAGTAAAGAGATCAGTGTGGCTGGGGTTATGCAAGCCAGCACATTGCAGTTCATGAGCTCCTTTTAAAGAACAAATACTTTCTAGAGTATAGCGCCGGATCCAAGAAAAACCAAAAAGCCAGAACGGGGGATCAGTCAACATATTCTCACTGTTTGTTGTCTAAAAATGTTTTCTCCCTTGTCTCTGAGATACTAGAATCATCATTTTCACCTCTTAGTCCACAGGTCTTTATTTCATGCGTACCACCTGAGCCGTATCATTGACTCTTCGCTTCTACTTTTACACCTGTTTAACTCCTGTTTCATAGTGACACTGATGCAAGTAGAATATAATTTGTAAAAAAAAAATACATATAAGTAAATAATAGCATAGGAATCTTTATGCACTGACCTAAAATCTACTATCAAATTTAATGTGAAAATACGTGAAGAGCAAGTGAAGTCTTCTTTGCTGTAACTTCGTATGGCACCCCAACATAGTACATCTGATTCAATGTGTGTTTAATAAATGTGAGGAAGATACCACAGACCCTGATCTTGGAAGCAGTTCTTACCCTGTTTTCAGGGAGAGCAACGCATCATCGACACCCCTCTGGTTGAACTTTCCCATGTAAGCATGCATTTCTGCGTAGTTATTGCGAATATTCCTCTCTGTGCTGCCATTGGGCACCGTCCCGAAGCGAAAAGGGGGTGAGAAGTCATTAGGTCTCTGGAACTGGAGAGACAGAAAGAGAGAGAAAGCAAATGCTTCAGAAAATGCGAAGAGATACTAAGTTAGCATTAGTGGATTTATAATGGAACGGACCCAACTATAGTTCACTAAATACACTAGTCCTCACCCAGAGCAACAATTGCTATCTAAAAGCGGACTTCAGTTCAACTCAGTTTATTACAGATTGCTGAGAGCTATTTCCCTGACTTTAATCTATAACCCCTGTGTGCTCCTTTTATGCATACTACACAATACCAGTGATGACGGAAACATGCTGTGGTGCATTAGTCACCTTTATTTCTGAACATTGTGTAAAATCTGCTTCCAGGCCTCTTATTTAAGGGCCTAAATATAGTGTCACTGCCCTATTAAGACCACAGGGCCTTGATGAGGCGAGCTACATCGTACTCCTGAAAATAATTTGTTTGGTATCAAATATGTTTTACTAAGAAATTTTCTCTTGACCTTCCCTGATGAATTTATAGTTCATATTTATCCTACATAAATTATAGGATAAATTTTAAAATCAAATACAGTTTTAATCAGGTAATTAGGTTCCTTACCTTGCTTAAGAACTGAGAGTGGCTCTCTAGTGCCTACCATAACAAAGTGAAATCTCTTGGATTTTCACCTTATGACATCAGCTTTATTTCTGGCTCTTTTCTGCAATGACTAAGTCTGTATGTTGCTCCCTGAACACATCATTTGTTCATTTGTATTTTTATAGTTGGTCCCCTCAGCACGAACTCACCTTTCTCTCTAGGTCAATTCATAGTCTTTGTCTCAAAATGTAATTCAAAGCAATTTCTCAGGAAACCTTCCATGAGTTCTTTCTTCCATTAAGTCAACCCCAAAGTGACCCATCAGTACTTGGTGTTCTTGGTTTAGAGCACTGTAATTCATACTACAAATTCCATTACTCTCTGAATGAGGTAGGTTATAAGAGCTAGTTTCTGATGTAGTCACTAAGAATTTAAGCTCCACGATCGAGACAGATATAAATTGATGACCAGCTCTGCCACTTACTACTGTGTGACCTTGTGCAAGTAACGTGAACTCTCTGTGCATCATCTCCTCACGTGTAAGAAGGAGACAATAATGTTGAGTTTTCAAGATTATTGTGAGGATTAAATGATATAATGTATAAGAAATTCTTCACACAGCACCTTGCATACAGTAAGTGCTCAATAAATAGCTCAATGAGTGTTCCTTTTATTATTTTAATTCATATTTATATTCTGTATTCCCTATCAAACTTAATGCTCTCCAAGCTTCTCATTCTATTAGTATAGCAATGAACAGATAGAATATAACCAGAGTAGCTCTGTTATTCCTTGGCATAAGAAGCGATGTAGATATTTTTAAAAGTCTTCTTGGTTTCAATACTATACACCACATACTTAGGAGATACATTTGAAAATCTAACCTGCCAACTCAGGAGTCCTCTGAACCTTTGGAGTAGCCTGGACTTAGAGCCATTCTTTCTCCTTCTCTTGATCTGAGAAGCTCAAGAGTTTCTCAGGATATGAGAGTACATGAGCCACAACATGTCACAGTACCAGGACCCATAAATGCCATCTTAATTGGTCAGAATTGGCCATAGTCAAAAGTAGAATCATGCAGTGGTATTAGGCAATCTAATGAATCAAAGATCATTACTTTCTGACTTCAAAAGCTCCAAGTCTGACATACCACTGTGCTTTTTGCCATTAAGAATTTTTGTTTAATTATTTTGAAAAGGGTTGTGATTTTTAAGTCTATAAGTCATTACAAAAGAGTCAAAGAATTTTTGAGTTGGATGAGCCACTCAAGGCTAACTAGTCCAAACCTTTAATTTTACAAACAAAGAAACTAAGGCCCAAAGAGGACAAGTAGTTTGCTTACTGTCACACAGTGGCCATGATGGCTAACATTATCGGGGACCAACTGGCTTATTAATAGTACTCCTCACTGTCTCTAGCAGATAGAAAATTTAAAAAGAACAAGGATATGCTTTGTTGAAAGAGACAGATACCAAAATGCTATGTACATCACTGTCAATTATTGAACTTCAGATATTTGAAAAAAGGTATCTTCCAAGTCAAAAGTAGAATAGATACCAGGGCAGGCAGCAACATAACCAAATAAATTCCCTTTAATCAGTAATTCTCCACTCTTCCAAGACAATGGCAACCAATGCTCACAATGACTAAGACGCTTTAGGACCCAAAGTATCTTCTGAAACATCAACGAAAGTTGAAATCATGTCCAACACAATTCAGGTATAAATTATTATAATCTAGTTTTTAGAAAATTGGCAATCCATGTAAGGTATATGAAACAACTTTTGATTAACCAAATGGAATCTGGTACCCAGAGTGCCTTACTTCCTGGAGAAGCTGGATTATGGAAAGTTTCCATACTACTCTTTAGTAACTTTATACTTTATGTTTAGATTTCTAAATGCTGTTTTATAATCATATGCCCAAATAAGTAAAAGCTAAAGAAATGATAAAGGACGTCAAATAGACAAGACAACTTTGAAAAAGAAGAACAAAGTGGGAGGACTTCTATCACCTGACCTCATGGCCTGTTATAGTACATGGCAGTGTGGCATAGAATAGAAATAGTAAAGACATCAGCGTAACACAACAGAGTGCCCACCAACAGACCAACACATGCATGTGGCAAAGGTAATTCAGTGGAGATAGGACTGTCTTCAACAAATGGTATAGGAACAATTAGATACCCAAATGCAAAAAAAAACAGACAACAGAACTCTATTCCACACTTCACAAGGTATACAGAAATAAACTCAAAGTGGATTTTATATCTGAATATAATTCCTAAAATTATAACATTTTTAGGAGAAAAACCTTTGTTATGTTGAGTTAGACAATGATTTCTTAAATGCAACACCAAAAGCACAACGTGCGCACACACACACACAGGATAAACTGGACTTCATCAAATTAAGGCTTTCTCTTGAGAAACACAGGATCATGAAAAGACAGGCCAGTGACTGAGAGAAAATGTTTGAAAATAAATGAAAGCAATTAAAAAACTAAAGGAATTAAAGAAGAACATAGCAAGACTCTTATCATTAAAGCACCTTCCCTAAGAAAACAATCAGAGAAACCAGGAGCCCTGGAAGAATAAGGCAGAGCCCTGTGGAAAGCAAGCGATTTGGATCTGAATTTCAGCTCTGTCTCTGCCGTGTGAACATAGGCAAGTCACTTATATTCACAAAGCCCCATTTTCCTGAAAGTATTATTTTTAACGAATAATAAGATGATGTATAGGAAACCACTTAACACAATATCTGGCACATGGTGGAGTCTCAAAATTATTAACTGCTTTTATATGGATGAAATTCTAACATCTAAAATTGTCTTATGTTAGGCAATGTTCCCTAAGATTGAAAACTCTTGTTCTGTAATTTGTTCCTTAAACTAGGCCAGTCTGGGGACCAACAGGGAGGGAGCACATCGCCCCAGAATCAGCCAAAACAGAAGGAGAAGTGAGTTTGCCTTTTCCTTTGAAAACTCTTGTCCCAGCTTGGTGAGGTTTAAATAAAACACAGGTTTTTAAAAATAATCTTCCAAATAGCCAATGCTTCCAATAAATGCCCTGCAACAAAACACCCCAAGCCGCGAGGCATTATGTGGCACTTCTCTAACCCGAGAGGCAGTCCATGCTCTCTGGGGTTTGAAAAAGACAAAATTTAGTACTGTCCAGACCCGGGAGTCTTAACATCCATTTAACAGGAAGGACCCCAAGAATCAATTCAGAAAAAGTTCAAACCCAATGCATCAAGGAGATCAGCATTGACTGATTTTAAAGTAATGAATTTTATACAGTACTTCTTTATTTTTTTTTAGTATTATTAAATTTATTAGGGTGACATTGGTTAATATGATTATATAGGTTTCAAGTGTATATTTCTATGATACATGATCTGTATATTGCATTGTGTGCCCATCACCCAAAGTCAAATCATCTTCTGTCACCATATAGCTAGCTGCTCCCCTTTACCCTTTACTCCCCCCAACCCCCTTCCCTCTGGGGGTTGTGAAAAGACACTCAACTTCACTACCCATTAGGGAAATGCAAATCAAAACTATAATGAGATACCACCTCACACCTATTAGAGTGGGTACTGTCAGCAAGACGCGCAATCGCAAGTGTGGGAGAGGCTGTGGAGAAAAAGGAGCCTCATTCACTGCTGGTGGGAATGTAAACGGGTGCAGCCACTATGGGAAACAGCATGGAGGTTCCTCAAAAAAATTAAGAGTAGAGTTACCATATGACCTGGCAACCCCTCTTCTGGGCATCTACCGAAACATTTGAAAACAATTATTCTCAAAGGTATGTGCACCCCTATGTTCATTGCAGCATTGTTGACAATGGCCAAGACACGGAAACAACCAAAGTGTCCTTTGATAGGTGACTGGATAAAGAAGATGTGGTTCATATATACATTGGTATATACTCAGCCATAAGAAAAGATGAAACACTGCCATTTGCCACAACATGGATGGGCCTTGAGAATATCATGCTAAGCGAAATAAGTCAGTCAGAAAAAGCTAGGAACCAAATGATTTCACTCATATGTGGGATATAGAACTGAAGCTCATATGCAGTACTTCTTATGAGTCACCTGTGGCCAAAATAGGGCTTCCTTAAACTTGGAATCTGTTTCTAGAGTTACCCAGATTAGGATTGTAAAAATACAGATTTAGATAGGGAAATAAAAACACAAAAAACAAGGTGCCGTAGGGATCAGTCCCATTTCAAGAGGAGGAAACTGAAGCCCTGAAGAGACCAAGTAAATTGTTCGAGGTCATGGGGTGAAGTAGGACTTGAACCCCAGGAGCTGAGCCTTCCACTGCAGGCTCAAATGCTAGCCCACGAGCCCTACCCCTGCTTACTGGGGAGTGACGGCATATCAAATGCCAACTCCCACTCCCTCTCTGGATTCAACAGATGGCTTTCAGCATTTACTGTAAGCACACACTTGCACA